ATACATTAATCCACGACTTTTTGAATGCCTCTGCTGATATTTTTACTTTTCCATCACATTTTATTCTTACAGGAGATTTAAAGCTTCTACCCCAGTTGACAGTAACTACCTTATCAAAGTGTTTTTCAACCAATGCTTCAACTCATGATTTCGCAACATTTTCATCAGTCATTTCAACATCTGTATCTAAATAGTCTACTTCAATATCCGAATCATTTGTTGCAGCTGTTGTGTCACCATCATTTTGATATTGTAATTTTCCATTATCATCAGCCATAAATAAGCTTTTGACCTCTCTTTTATGTTTAGTCACTCCAGCCATGATATTATTATAAGTGTTTCTCCTTTGTTTGTATTACTTCTTTTGTCTTTGTTCAAGAGTATAATGACTACCACAGTCACAGTAAACAAAGCTTGTCACAGTTCTTTTTTCCAACTACAAAGGAAGGATCCAATGGTAGCACATATACTTCTCTACGTTGCACAATCCCTGTTTTATAATACAATTTAAGGATTCGGTTCTGTTGGCTTGGTTTAATTTCAAGTATCTCCATGCGTACGCAGCGCCGGGGAGTTCGCAGTAAGCTCTCAGAACATGGTCCCAAAATTCCTCCACTGTCGCGTAATTATTAGAATCACCAGCTGGATTCCCGTATTTGCTTGAAGGGACCAGGTGTTGATCTTGAATCAAGAGTGGCATGAATATATTGAATGAAACTGAATCAACACAGTACAAATGCATTGTCGATTCGGTCGTAAAAATCTGTTCTTTATGTGAATATTACTGGATATTTACCAATGCAAGCACTCAGAGTGGTTTACCCACAACACGATACATCAAAATGACAAGTATGTAAGTAGCACCGTACTATATATTCTGTATTTTGATCCGATCAAAATGATCGAGTTCGCAAAACTTGCATTCACCCGTGCACCACGCGAGCTGAACAGATTTGTTTCTCGTATTATTATTTTGAAATGTGAGCACAGGTTCTCTGTACGCCACTTGAATTCACTGCATTTTATAGCAGCCTCGGTGTCAAGAACGGAATATCATCATGACTGCGCAGAATAGTATTATCATTTAGAATATTACTTGAAAATTCGTTTACTAGTTAGACAATTTCTTGACAAATCGTTTGGCATTATCAATGTATCCAAAATAACAATGTAAATTTCAAATTCTTTAAACCAAGCAATTCCATCTTATCAATATTTACGTTAGTAGATTACAAATAATATTCGGCCATCATCATCCCGATACAATGAATTTACTTGTATTCGATAAAGTGGTGGATTTAAATTAATTACAATAAATACATTATTTTAATTCATTGATCGCTTCATCAAACCATTAATGGCTGTGAATTCTCTATTTCTTATTTTATTAAACATTTGACGGATTTATTCATTCAAACATGATAAATTCATTAATTCATTTATTACTTTACAAATTAGTTAATTCATGAATGGTACGATGCGTGACTGCGAATAAATAATTTATCCAATCATTTGGGCAAAAATAAACACAAGATTATTATAAGGCAAAGTTATATAACACTTCTCCTATCGCAATATATTTTATCTCGACAGTTTGAGGGCGCTTTTGTACCCATGTCCGAGATGTTGAATTGCTCAAAATACTTGTAGTCATTTAATTACAAAAATATTTCATTAAGTGTCTGGTTTGTGGGACTCTTTGTCGCGCGCTTCATTCGTCCCGTCCAAATCAGCGCGGCAGTTTACAATTTGTGCTGGCAACCCGATATTGCCAGCCCTTGCTATTATCTGAGATATTTGGTTTTACGTACTCTGTGGCAAAATCCAACAATTACGACACTGGCCGTGTGCCCTGGGTACACGAGTACTGGTGTCATCACACAATACAGTTATTCAACAATTTATACATGGTTTTGGATCTCAATGACCCCATTTCAGTGGCGTTACGGTACCTCGTTTACGATAACAAACGCATCGAATGTCGGATGACGTTCGCTTGACGACGCCACTGCGTCACAGCCATTGTACCGCGATTAGCGTCACTAAGACAGTCAATGATGTTCTATGTGTTCGAAACATCAACACAGTGCGGATGCGCTGTAGATTCGGTCGTAAAAAACGTTCTTCATGTGAATATTATTGGATATTTACCAATGCAAGCAGTCAGAGTGGTTTACCCACGACACGATACATCAAAAATGACAAGTATGTAAGTAGCACCGTACTGTATATTCTGTATTTTGATCCGACCAAATTGATAGTGTTGGCGAAACTTGCATTCACCCGTGCACCACGCGAGCTGAACAGAGTTGTTTCTCGTATTATTATTATTCTGAAATGTGAGCACAGGTTCTCCGTACGCCACTTGAATTTACTGAATTAAAAATCTGTCACGATTTCACGTACAACATAACGCCATGAGAACGGTGATTTTTATTATCATTTAGAAAATTACTTGACAATTCGTTTATTAGTTAAGACAATTTCTTGACAAATCATTGGGTATTACCAATGTATCCAAAATAACAATGTAAATTTAAAATTCTTCAAACCACGCAATTCCATTTTTTCAATATTTACGTCAGTTGTTGACAAATAATATTCGGCCATCGTCATCCCGATACAAGGAATTTACTTGTATTCGATAAAGTGGTGGATTTCAATTAATTACAGTAAATACATTATTTGAATTTATTGATAGTTTCATCAAACCATTAATGACTGTGAATTCCTTTCTTTCTTTTATCTTTCTTTTAATGGGTCATGTGGTCATTAAACGTTTGACGAATTCATTCATTCATTCATTCATTATTTCACTCACTTTTTAATTCACTCGTGAATGGTACGATGTGTGACTGCAAATAGTTGTTTGAGGGCGCTTTTGTACCCATGTCCGAGATGTTGAATTGCTCAAAATACTTGTAGTCATTTAATTACAAAAGTGTTTCATTAAATGTCTGGGTTGTTGGACTCTTTATCGTGCGCTTCATTCGTCCATCCAAATTAGCGCGGCAGTTTACAAATTGTGCTGCCAACGCGATATTGCAAACCCTGGCGTTTATCTGAGATATTTGGTTTTACACAAGTTCCTACTCGGTGGCAAAAGCCAACAAATACGACACTCAGGCCGTGTGCCCTGGGTACACGAGTACTGGTGTCATCACACAATACAGTTATTCAAATATTTATACATAGTTTGGATCTAAATGAACCCATTTTAGTGGCGTTACGACCCCTCGTTTGCGATAACAAACGCATCGAATGCCGGATGACAATCGCTTGACGACGCCACTGCGTCACGGCCATTGTACCGCGTCGGTGGCGCCACAATCGCTAGTGTTCTATACGTTCGAAGCATCAACGCAGAGCAAATGCGCTGTAGATTCGGCCGTCAAAAGCGTCCTTCATGTGAATAATACAACACAATACATCAAAATGCAAGTATGTAAGTAGCACCGTACTGTATATTCTGTATTTTGATCCGACCAAAATGCTCGTGTCCACAAAACTTGCATTCACCCGTGCATCACGCGAGCTGAACAGAGTTGTTTCTCGTATTATTATTATTCTGAAATGTGAGCACAGGTTCTCTGTACGCCACTTGAATTTACTGAATTGAAAATCTGTCACGATTTCACTTACAACATAACAACATTACAATTTTTTGACAAATCGTTTGTTAATTCAATGAAACAAAAATAACAATGTATATTTGAACCATTGAAACCAGACGATTCCATCTTATCAATATTTACATCTCTTGATGACAAATAATATAATAGTGGCCATCATCATCCCGATGCAAAGGAGTTGCTTGTATTCGATAATTATTGATCGGGACATCAAACCATTAATGAATTTCTTCATTCTATTTATAACGGGTTCATTCATTCAATAGAGCGATGTTCGACTGTAAATAACTCATGAGAATAAACTATTAATCCGATCATTTATACAAAAAAGGAGCACAAGATAACCATTACACAACTCTTCACCTGTCAGAGTGGTTCTTTATTTCGACAGTTTCAGTTTTGTATCAATTTAGCAATGTGGTTATTGGACCATTAACAAATTCATTCATTCCGTCTCTAGAGAATAATGTAAATCTATGTACTGTATTACAAGGTTCATATAAAGGAAACTGCTTTCAATGTCGATACTATTGATTTGAGCATGTGGATTTGATAAATGCACTTTACTAGAGTAATTCAGTTATGTAGCCATTTTGTATACAAGATGGATCATAATTGCACATTATTGCTGACTTTCCAGTCACTGTTTTCCGTCTAACTTTATCAATATTTAGATTGCCACAATGCTAAACTATCATTTAGAATCATAACATGTCAAAATTTAAATATGTTCTAAAACTGGAAACTTATACCAAATTAATTGATAGATAACATTTAAGACAAGCTCAGAATTTCCGCACATACATTGCGTATTGAATCTGATAGACAAATTAGAAATGACAGAACAGAGATTGTGTCCACTGTAACACCCATAAAATAGAAGATATTATTTGTCCAAAATGTGCAGAAAACGTTACATTCCAAGATACTATTTCACAAATCCTTCTTGTGAATGTAAACATACTGTTGTATGGTGATTATTACTATTACCTGCACTAAATAAGAACTTACAAAATACATTATGTAATAATGAAGACAAATAAAGTTTTGATTGATGATAATCACTTCATACTCCCTTAAAGTACTGCAGTCATCACACTGTGCCATATTTGATACGACAGCAATGTTTACATTGTTTTATTCAAAAATAATTTAATACACTTCAATTATTGTGTTGAAAATATACATTTATTTCAAATTATTGGGACCAGGCACTCAATATTTTGGTCAATGCTTATAAGGGGCTTATACGACATGTGATGGTGGCAATTATTTCTTGATTAATGAAGTTTGTAAGCATTCTGTGATATAGCCTAATAACATTTTAGTTTTCAATTGAACAATTACTCACAAATCTAGAGACAAATCAAGGCAGTATAAAATATGTAAGTTTATTCTGTTCAACAGTGATGGAGACTGATGGTGGTGGTGCTAACTAAGACCATACAATTTTAGTAGAGCATCTGGTGAAGGGTCTCGTCCACGGAAATTTTGAAAAACTTTTTTAGGATGCATCCCACCACCCATTGCCAATACTGTGTCTTTGAATCTACAAAAATGGAAACAGAAACTTATTTCAATCAAACCTATTTCCAGGATATTACTGAACACAATTGGTTGCAATTATTGGTTGCAAATGAAGAGTCAGAAAAAAGTATGAAGAGATGAAAATCAATCACAGAGACAAGAATGAAAAGTCAAGAGGCTCAGAAGAGAAGAGGCTCAGAAGAGAAGAGAATCAGAAAAGATGAAAATCAGAAGAGATGAGAATCAGAAAGGATGAGAATCGAGAATCAGAAGAGAAGAGAATCAGAAGAGAAGAGAATCAGAAGAGAAGAGAATCAGAAGAGAAGAGAATCAGAAGAGAAGAGAATCAGAAGAGATGAGAATCAGAAGAGATGAGAATCAGAAGAGAAGAGAATTGGAAGAGAAGAGAATCGGAAGAGATGAGAATCAGAAGAGATGAGAATCAGAAAGGATGAGAATCAGAAAGGATGAGAATCAGAAGAGAAGAGCATCAGAAGAGATGAGAATCAGAAGAGATGAGAATCAGAAGAGATGAGAATCAGAAGAGAAGAGAATCAGAAGAGATGAGAATCAGAAGAGAATCAGAAGAAAAGAGAATCACGAGAGAAGAGAATCAGAAGAGAATAAAATCAGAAGAAACGAGAATCAGAAGAGAATAAAATCAGAAAAAAGGAGAATCAGAAGGGAATCAGAAGTGACAAGAATTAGAAGAGATAAGAATCAGAAGAGATACGAATCAGAAAAGAAGAGAATCGGGAGAGAAGAGAAGGGACCAGGAGAGAAGAGAATCTGAAAAGATGAGAATCTGAAAAGATGAGAATCAGAAGTAAGAATCATAAGAACAGAGGTGAAGAGAAGAGAAGAGAATCTGAAGAAAGTGACAAGAATAAAAACAGACAAGAATCAAAAGAAACAAGAATCAGAAGAGATGAGAATCAGAAGAGAAGAGAATCAGAAGTGAAGAGAATTAGAAAAGAGAATCAGAAGAGAAGAGAATCTGATAGGAAGAGAATTAGAATTCGAAAAGAAGAGAATCAGAAGAGAAGAGAATCTGAAGGGAGGAGAATCTGAAGAGAATAAAGTCAGAAGAAAAGAGAAGCAGAAGAGACAAGAATAAAAACAGACAAGAATCAGAAGGGAGTAAAATCAGAAGAGAATCAGAAGAGACAAGAATCAGAAGAGGTAAGAATCAGAAGAGAATCAGAAAAGAATCAAAAGAGAAGAGAATCAGAAGAGAATCAAACAGACGAGAATCAGAAGAGAAGAGAATCAGAAGAAAAGAGAATCAGAAGAAAAGAGAATCAGAAGAAAAGAGAATCAGAAGAGAAGAGAATCAGAAGAGAAGAGAATCAGAAGAGAAGATAATCAGAACAGAAGAGAATCAGAAGAGACAATGAAAATAGCCAAGAATCAGAAGAGAAGAGAATCAGAAGAGAATAAAATCAGAAGAAAGGAGAATCACAAGGAGAGAGAATCAGAAGAGATAGAATCAGAAGGAAATAAAATCAGAAGAAAAGAGAATCAGAAGAGGTAAGAATCAGAAGTGATGAGAATCAGAAAAAAAGTGAAGAGAATCAGAAGAGAATATAATCAGAAGAGAATAAAATCAGAAGAGAATAAAATCAGAAGAAAAGAGAATCAGAGAAGATGATATTCATAAATGAGAATCAAGAGAAGCCAATCGGAAGAGATGATAATCATAAGCGATGAAAATCAGAATAGAATCATAAAAGTACATCAGAAGAAGAAGAAGAAGAAAAGTGAATCAGAGCAGATAAAAGTCAGAAGAGAACCAGAATAGAAACAAAGAAATGGAAAAGACAGGAAGAAAATAAGAAGGGAAGAAAATCAGGAGAAATAATTTCAGAAGAAAGAATCAGAGAATCAAGAGATGAAAATAAAAAAAAAGAATGAAGAGAAGAAAATCAAAAAAGATGTAAATCAGAAGGTCAGAAGTGTCTGAAATAAACTAATAGGAAAATTACCTTTTTCCAACGATGGCAACTTTGTCCCTGTTGGTCAAACCAACTTCTTGGAATGCCTCAAAGGCGTCAGCTGACATTACCTGTAATAAAAATAATAACATAACCACAGACTAGATTGTTTTGATCACCTCAAACTGTAATTAACAACAAACATTTCCCAGCAAATCAAATAGTTTGCTTATTTCCTGGCTACATGCCAATGAACATAGCTTTTATTTATAGCCAGTACTATAGCTAAACTACTGTAAACATGTCTTTTTAGCAAATTTAACGGGTGAACTAATTCGCAAATTTGAAATGTTGCTAATGACTTATAAATTCAAAATGGCGTCTAATCAACGTCTTTTTCTCCACACACACAAACACTTTGTAAACAAGACAGAAAATGTAATAATCTGGAGCGCTTCCTTATTACACTTAACAGTTTTTCTTTGTTTTTATGGAGGTGATAACTGCGCATTTGTTTTGGCAGGTGAAAACAAGAAATCAACTAAGACAAGAGAAATTCGCTAAATCAACATTTCGCTATTACGTCATGCTTTTCAACATGTTTTACAGTATCACAAGTGGAGAGAGTATGTCATGGCAATCAAACTCATCGACGAACAAATGTGACTATGGAATCTTTCAAGGGTGTCTGGGTATATAGAATTCTCACCTCAGCCCATTTATATGAATAATAACCAGCTGAATAACCACCAGCAAATATATGTTGAAAAGAACAAGGAAACCGGTCTTCCTAAAATGTAAAATATTGTTTATATTGTAATGATGCACACTGGAGTTGAAACTTTGCCACCTACAATTACTCAAATACATTCTCCCAACCATGTGTCAGGAAAATCAGGCAGGTAAATCATCATCATCTGCTTCCAGAATCTGGCAACACATTATTAAAAAACTCCCCACCTTTCTAACCTAAGTCAGTAATTATATTACATGTACAGCAATGTGTATATTTCTTAAAGACAATATACAATAAATTTACATTATAAGATTTATTTTGTGTGTGCAATCAGTTGCTTGTAAAGATATGGGTGTGACTTTACAGGTGAAATAAAGAGGAGAGGGTTGTGTTGGTTATAGGAATGTGCCACATGTACTGTATTTTAGTGACTTACTGGCAGTGGTTTCATTATAGTATATTCTTCTGATACTCTCTTCATGACATCCATCCATGGGTCAGTGCTGAAATGATGAACAGAAATCTAACGATGTAAAGATCAATCCTGTGAGCACTAGAATTTGGATCAAGACTTGTATTCAATAGGAAATTATGTTCGTCTGTTCCAAAATTATCAAAAACAAATTTATTTTAAATACATAAAAGCAAGCAGAATTATGCCACTTAAAAGTTAAGGTGAATGATTAAATCATCACAGTTGTTAGATTTGATATGGGTTACATTATAACTTTATAAAATATATAACACTCAAATAGTTGCTCCATATCAATAATTATTATACATAGAGCATTCATGTATTGTTTTACAGTACATATTTGACAACTATGCAAATACAAAAAATAATTTTACTGAATATTCTTACAGGTAACTATTTATGCCTTCGGTTAAATTTAGCTGCAAAGGAAATGTCAAAATCTGAAGCGAAATTATCTTGATTATCTCCTAGCACATCTACATTAGTGAAACTGAGGTTATTACATGACAACCTTACGATGACATGCCACTTTGACTTGATGGTTCATTACTCATCAACAAAGTCACTTGTGAATATGATGTGATGTTAAGGAGAATATTGTGCAACAACCTCTAAGGCAACACATGTGGGAGCATTAGTATCTCACATGAAAACATTGAAACTACCCACTATTTTCCAAATATGGTCAATTAACACTTCTTTTTGTTGATGTTTGTTCATAAAGAATTTTGGATATTTTTCGGGGCAAATGAAAAGCAATGAAAAAAACATTTGAAAATATTCCCAAAATGGCCCATTTATTCAGTTGTTTGTTACACACCCGTAAACTGAGAAATGTGAAAAATAAAAGAATAGCCAGACACCCACATTAATACACAGCAGGCAAATGGAATATATATATAGTCACATACCTTGTATGTAGTTCCATATCCAAAGCACTGAAGTAGAGCTGCCTCAACATGCTTAGACCAGCATTGTATTTACGAGCTGAAATTATAAACAAATGTACTGTATCATTAATACTTTAGTTACTGTAAAATGACTAATTTTCACTGGGTTTAAATTTCACTGATTTACCATTTCGAGCATATTCAGTGGGTTTTAAATTTACGGTTTCGTCATTTAGATAATGTGTTCTATGCTAAATTTTACATATTCACTGTGTTTTAATTTAGGGCGTTTTTCCAGTCAGCGAAATAAGCTAAATTAAAACCCAGTGAATAATTACCCCCTTTACAGTACATAAAATTAATACATGGTTCAGTATATGTTTCACAACACCATTAGAATTTGTACCAAATCGTGAAGGGTTTGACATGTAATTGTTGCAGTATGTGTGTAAGACTTTGACATGTCTCATACCTAATAGACTGGTATACAGGGATGCCACTAATTGGTGATTTGTGAACCAAAATTGTGTAATTGAAAAATTATTTACTATATAGGATTGCAATATAATTTAAAATCGTAAATTGTAAATCACAAAACGTAAACCGTTAGTGGTGGCTGGTATACATCTCTTACTTACATAATTACATACAGACAAAGATAACCCAGAATATCATAAGTAACTGCAGGTAGAATTTAGTATGAGTTGAAGGTGACAATGACATTGAGCAGAATAATACATTTACTAAACTTAATTTTAGCATCAAAACATCATTACTACTGTAAAGGAGTTAATTATTCACTGGGTTTTAATTTTGCATTTTTTGCTGACTGGAAAATTCACTAAATTAAAACCCAGTATTTAAAATTTAGCATTAGCATTATCTAAATGATAAAACTGTGAATTCAAAACCCTCTGAATATGCCTGAAATGGTAAATCTGCGAAACATAAACCCAGCGAAAATTAGTCATTTTACAGTAATAAAAAAAAAAATCCTTCACTCATTCGAATGAACTATTCCATAAAAAATAGTGTAATTTAATACCAAGCTATTTCCCTACCTTTAATTAACTGATCAAAGAGATGTTTAGGTAACGTTTCACCAGTTTGATAGTGGCCACTTATGGTTGCCATGGTATTTTTATCATAAACCCAGTTTTCCATGAGTTGTGATGGCAACTCTACTGCATCCCATTCTATATTGTTAATACCAGCAGCATCAGCATATGAAATAGTAGTCAACATATGCTGTAAACCATGACCAAACTGACAAAAAAATAAAAATGATATCATAATAAAACATATTATTATACATCTGTCACTGTAACGCTATAAGTTACAGCATGCCGTAGTTTTGTGGTATTTTGCGAGGTATTTTCATCCTACCATATAAGGAAATGCGATTTCCAAATATGGAATGATTAAGAAACATGGCTGCCACCAGGGTTTGACCGGACTCCACACAAAGAAGTTCCCTGATTCTGTTCTAAACTTTTTGAATTTCGGCATTCCCATGATGTATCCTTGGCAGGAAAATATGTATAATAATAAGGTTATTACGAGTATACCTCAAAGTATGCACTCAGACAGTACGCCGTCACATCGACCTCTGCTGCACTGTCTTCATGCATACTTTGAGGTATCCTCTTAATAACCTTATAACAAATACAGGTTAAATGAATTTTCATTGTAAAATTATAACTTTAAACTGCTTTAAAAAGACAAAGTGAATTTCAGAAGTCAGTAAAAATCTTGAAATTGTGTAAAGGTGAAAATTTGTCTGCTGTCCCATGACATTGAGTGTCAGTGACTTTTAGTCATTAAATCGCAAAACTTAAGTGGTTAACAGAATACAGAATTGTGTATGTGTGAACATGATAAGTGTAATTCACATCCAGACATGTGGAAGTTATTACGACTAGCAAATCAACCATGGATATACCAGCCAAGCATGTCTGTGATCCAGTTTCAAAATTGTAGAAATGCTTCACGTTGGTGTCAGCCACTTTTTAATCAAATTCATTTTATATAATAATGTGCATTCATTTTAAGTTCTATGTATATATCAAGATTGAATGAATCTATCAATATGAATTCGGATTAGGAAGAGCAGAAATGTTTGATTTTGATCAGCATATTTTGAACACTAAAACAGCTAATAAACGTCCATCTTTAATCAGATTGCAAAACAAGTCCATGTACATTTGTAATATTATATAAATAATGTATCCTTAACAGTATTATCTATATGTGTATGTAAAGCATGCCTTTATGATACAATGCAGTAACCTGGAAGTCAAGTAGCAGATACTTTGCAGGAGGATGAAAAACCGTGTCAGATTATTTTCAAACACTGGGCATGTTACTAATAATAGTATTCTTGTCGAAATCTTGTTTATTTCATAGCAAGACATTCTTAAACAAAGTGAACAATTAAATTATGCGTTCTTATTTGTAAATTTGACCAGCAAGTGAAGTAAATTTGCTACTCGTGTTTATCCACAGGTTTCACCACACTTACACAGCAAAGTTGAAAAGTGTAACATCAGACTGCAGTCAATTAATGCAAGGGTATTGTAGATATTTGCATCAGCTGTCCCTACGTTGCAGAAAGTTAGCATAAAAATGGGAACATACTTCTTAAGAACTTTGCAATCATCTTGCATCTGAATTGTGTGAACAAATATGCAAATTGAGCTAATTAGTATGCATGTGTTGGTGCCAAAACCCAATCAGATTTTGCAAGCTATCCATGTAACAAGATATGTGCATAGACAGACAGACACACAGGCAGCCTGACAACATTAGTTCATAGTTCAGACATTGCACAACAAGAGTCTAATGAAAGCTCTCACCTCATGAAACAGAGTTTCTACTTCTCTAAATGTCATCAAAGATGGTACGCCCTCTATAGGTGGTCTCTGGTTACACACCAGATAGGCCACTGGTTTTGTCTTTAAAAGTTCACTTTTTCCTACAAAACAGAATGCACAAAAGCTTGCATATTATAATAAAAATCTCCTGCTTTTTCCTATTTTCCTTAGTAGGAAATGTGTTAAATCATAGGAGCACTCCCTACCGGTACACACTGCTGAAAGTTTTCATAATAGAGTAAAAAATAGAATATATATAAGTAAAGTATTCAGGTAGAGAAATCCAAACGATATCATTGATTCACTTATATTAATAAAATCAGAATTTTAGTACTCCGCAATCTCACACTTGCAGAACTAAAATTCATTAGTCCAAAATATTTTTTGAATAGAGTTTAAAAATATTGCCACCTGTCACCGATAAATACATTTTAGCTCGTACAGTATACTGCAAGAGTTGAATGATCAAAAATTAAATACTGAGTGCAAGTGATGTAAACATTTTTTTTTAACCCCTGCTAATGTAATTTATACATGACGAACTGAGAATGATATACTGTAAGATAATGATTCAGTGAAAATAAAATCCAGCGAATATATTTTTGTTCCTATATTTCACATTCAGTCAAAAATCAGTGAACATAAATTTCATACAAAACATTCAAAAAGTCTTTTCAGTGAAAATTTATTCCAGCTAAAATAAAGTATTTTACAGTAATTTCCTTATTTGTGTAGACGAGTATATATATCTAAAAATGGACAGCAGACACTTTTTGAATGGAAGGGGTATGTTTAATTTGAATTTCAATCCCCTACAAATCTTAACAATATACAACCCTGCATACCATACTTAACTATGTACTCATTCAGGCACCTCCCTGAATGCCTAACTATGTAC